ATATATATATATATATATATATATATATATATATATATATATATATATATATATATATATATATATATATATATATATATATATATATATATATATGTACGTTTCCAGTTTGTTTGTTTTTTTAATTTGTAGATGCGGCTTATAGTGAGGTGCGCTCTATAATCTGGAAAGTATGGCAACTCACTTTAACTTTCCCACATTTTATCCACAAACTTTGGTGATTTTATTTGACAGACCAACAGAAATATTTGTGCAAAAGTGTTCAAAATTCGGAAGATGATCCCTGAATATCATAAATGATCTGTGACAGAGTGTAACATGTTATTAGTGAAATAATCTGCCAGAAGAACTAGCACTTTTCAGTAAATATTGAGGAATTATTTAGTTAACGCAAGCTTCTGTACTTTGGTGAAAAGTTACTTGTAAATTAGTTTTCTCAACGGTACTAAGACATTTGCACTAGAAACCAGCTTAAAACACTTGGTAATATTTTGTGTTTTTACAGTGTGCAGCAGCTTTACTGCATTTGTAGCTCCTGCGATTAATTGAAGCAGCTCCGTCGTTAATCAGCGACTGCTCTGCGTGTGTCTCTGCAGGAGAGCGAGGATGCGGTGAAAGTCCTGGCGAAGGAGAAGGATGTTCTGGAGCGGGAGAAATGGGACCTGAGGAGGCAAACCAAAGAATCCACGGAGCAGGCCAACATGCTGCGCTCTCAGATAGACATGAAGGAGAACAGGATTAAGGAGCTGGAGGCCGAGCTCACCATGGTGAGTCATCGTGAACATTAGCAGAGAAAACACGCCGTCAGTGAAAGATTCTGTCAGAATCCGTGAGATGTGAAAGTGGCGGCGGGATGGGTTCTGTGCAGAACTTCCTCTGGTTAGCAGGAGGATGTGTGTGTGTTTGTTCTGCGGCGTCGGCTCCTTCGAGGTTCAGCTGCCACTCTGTGAGCCATTAATCTCTCCTCCCGTCGCGAGTCGCAGCCGCCCACAGACCCTCACATCAAGCTGCAGTGCAGATCTGATTTGTTGGCACATCGCCTCCGAATCCGTAGCTAAATATCATTCCGTCGACTCTCATTTCCTTCTCCCCCTCTGCTAGGTGCCACTGAGCGTTTTCGAAGATGGAAACGTTTAGAAAAAGCATGACGCTGTACTTTTTTTGTTGTTTTTGCATTTCATTTGATTCTTTAGCTGATTTTTATTTCATTTTCAGGACTGAACCTGATCGTCTGCAGAGAAAATACCGTAGGTCACTGACCTGTGAAACATTCAGTCAATAAAAGTGTTCAGACTTCACGAGATTAACCAGTTTTGACTTCAAATCATAAATAACTTGGTAAATAAATAATCTGACAAAATGTAACAACGAGGTGGTTTACAAAGAATTATTACCTGAATATTTAGAGCTGATCAGAAAAATGTATCACTTTTCTCCGTTGTTATCAAGCTTGACGTTTCCACTGATTATTAACGCCACGCAACAAAAATAAAAAAAATTAAATATGAGATTAAAGTAATAAAATGAGGAGAATAAAGTCATATGAGAATAAAGTCTTTATATTACAACTTTATTCTCCTAATATTATGACTTTAATCTTGTAATTTTGTTTTCTCTTTTTTTTTCTCAGTATGGTTTGTTGTATGAAGTAAACTTAAATGGTTAAATTAAATTAGTAAAAAATAAAACAGCTTGGTACTCTTATCCTTCTATTTATAGGTTTTATTCTTGTATTCAGTTCCTTGCAAACATGTAAATTCCCCTCATACTTTTTTATATTTCGCTGTGTTACAACAAACCTAAAACTCCTGATTTTATATCACAGATCAACCGAAGTTGTCAATTAATTTAAATATTGAGAAGTAGAAGCAACATGGTTTATTTTACAGATAAAAATCTAAAGAACAGCGTGATGAGCTTTAATATTCAGCCTAATTTACTTTGATGCTTCTCAATAGGAAGACAAGTTACACTGCAAAACCACAAAACCTCACTAAGTATTTATTTTCTTCTGCAGTCATTTTAATACACTTGAAATAAGACAAAACTAACTTACAGGAAACTTTTCACTCAAACATGAAGCTGGTTTCAGGTCAGTAATTCTTTAATATATCTGAAAAATACAGGATTCACGATCAGATTATTTAACTTGTAATATGGGAAAAATGTCTCGTTAAAAGTAAAATAATCTGCCAAAGGAAGCGGTAATTTTTCATCAATATTAGGGAATTATTGACCTAAAACAAGCTTCAGGGTCTTTGCTGAAGAAATATTTATAAGTTAGTTGTGTCTTATTTTAAATCTCTTAATATAATTTCAATAGAAAATAAGATTTTGTGTTGTTGTAGACCTAAGTGAGGAAGGTTACTCCAACCTGATGGATCTTTAAACTGAAATAAACGACGACAGTTTTCTTTCCTAATTCCTAAATGTCTGATCAATATTCCTGAGACAATATTGATTATTCCCGACGCTAAAACTAATCATTTTAGAGTTTGTGGGTTTAAAATCTGAAAGGAAAACTAAATAAAAATAAATAGTTGTGATGTTTGTGTGTCTTGTTTTTCCAGGCCAAGCAGTCTCTGGCCACGCTGACGAAAGACGTCCCCAAGCGTCACTCGCTGGTGGTGCAGCCGGAGCCGCTGGTGAACGGCAGCCAGGAGTGGGTGATGCAGGCCGACCTGCCGCTCACCGCCGCCATCCGGCAGAGCCAGCAGACGCTCTACCACGGACACAACGCTGACCGGCAGGGTAAGCGCCGCGCCGCCCTGCAGCGCAGCGCCGCCCTGCAGCGCCGCCGTCTTGCTTGGTGTTTCCGTCAGTCAGTGAACTAACAGAGGGCTTTCTGGAGGTTTCCTGAACTAACTGTGGGGAATTTCCAATGTGTGTGTGTGTGTGTGTGTGTGTGTGTGTGTGGATGTGTAGCTGTGGTCAGGATCAGCCCCTGCCACACTCGCCAGCCGTCTGTGATCTCCGACGCCTCAGCAGCTGATGGGGACCGCTCGTCCACGCCCAGCGACATCAACTCGCCTCGTCATCGGACGCACTCCCTCTGTAACGTAAGAAATGGCCCAGTAGCCCCAGAAACCCCAGTAACCCCAGCAACCCCAGCAACCCCAGTAACCGCACCTCCGAGGTTTCCTCTCTGCTCTTCCTTTTCTTTGGTTTGTCTTTCTCCGTCCTGTCGGCTTGGTGGCTTCAGTCTGTCTGCTCAATAAGTGGTAATTCAGTTATTTTAAAGAAATATTTAGATTTCCAAGCTCTTTGAATTACTCCTGTTCACGTTTTTGCAATGCATCGATCAAAAAAAGTTATGATTTTATAATATGCTGTAAATAACGTTTCTTTTAATGTTTCTTTTAAGACCTTAAGAGAAACGTTACAGACTTTTTGTAACATTATTTTTTATCCAAAGCATCAGTGAAAACCTGAGTATGTAAACGGATAAGTTTACCGATAATAATATAATTTAATCAAAGCTAAAGGCTTTTGAAGATTTTGCACATTTTTATATTTCCATTGGGTCTCAGTTTCAATGAAACTGAATTAAAACAATTCTGTCAAGAAGAGCGGGTTGAAGATTTCCCACCGTGATCTAAAACCTGATGCCACATTAATTAATCCAATGATGTCGTCAAATTGTTAGAGTAATGAATTGTTCAACTGCAACGCCTGAATAAGACGCCGACGTCTCCTCTGATAGATGATGTTCTCATATGACTGTTTACATCCGTCTGTCATGATTTTTAATGACTTAATGAGTGTAATCACGCATGATTTCAATTTAATTTCTTATTTAATGGAAACAATTGCAAAATTTAGGTTTTTTTCGACATTAGATGACAAACCCAGAACCAGTCTGTTACCTGGATCCATGAACGAAACCAAAAACATTCACATCAAACTTACTTTAGTAGATGCTGGATGGTTTGTGTTTGTGGGTTTCACTGCATGTCTCCTGTCTCTGTCTCAGTCCATGGAAGACCTAGAAGACCAGAAGCGTAAGAAGAAGAAGGACAAGATGACTCTGGGATCTCTGTCACGGGTTTTCACCCGAGGAAAGCAGCGCAAGTCACTGGACCCCGGCTTGTTTGATGGTACAGCCACCCCTGATTATTACATAGAGGAGGATGCCGACTGGTGAAGCTGAATGAGCGTGTGTGTGGGTGTGTGTGTGCGTGTGTGTGTGTGTGTTACATGTGGACACCCCCATGTTTTAACTGTGTGTGTCTGGAGGAAGGAGATGGATGGATTGTGATGAAAACAGAGACTGCTGTCGCCGTAAATGTACAGTACACACCCCAAGAAAAATGTATGATTGTAAATTAAATGTATATATTTATAGTTGTACATGTATGCATATGTATATATGTTTACATGCATATAAATATATATACAGGGTTATTACAATGCGTAGATATGTTTATGCTGTATTATCTTCTAAATGTCTTCATGTTTTATGTTTTTTTTATATAAATAGACTTGAAGGACTGCTGTTTATATGTACATATAGGAGCTATTGTGAAAAATAGTGTTTAAATGTTAATGTTATCTGGGTTTTGTTACTCTATAGTTGCTTTCATCATGGTTTGCAGCATTTATTTCTTTTTTTTTTGCCAGTTTTTAAACCTTTTTCCTGCAACACATCAGGAAGCATTAGAAGAAAGCTTTGGGAGTTTATGTTGATCTGCTTCGTGTTCATTCATATTACACTGTGTGCAGCAGGGAGGGGTTTGAAGATCTCCTGCATTTTATACTGAAAACGATTAGGGATGTCCCGATCGATCATTTCAGGTTCAATATTTCTCAATACCGAGTCAAACTTGGAAGTGACCCAACAACCTGTCTCTGTTGCTGCCGTTCCTCTACCGCTGTGAGATGAGAAACCCAAGTCAACTAGATGAAATTTGAGAACATTTCAAAATCTAAAGTTTCTGAACTCGGGCGTCAAAGCAGAAAACAGCTCAGCCCTGAACTGTGAAAAGACTCATAGTATTTATAGCTTTATTTTGTCACTTAATTCCAGACTAAAGCCAATGAGAACCAGTCCCATACAAGTAATTTTTTTCTGAAAAACACCAGTAATACAGAGCCCCTCTCATCATGAGCGTGTAAAATATGTCAGTTCTTCACTGTTTTAGCATGAAGTAATGGTATTTCCCATTTCTGACCATTTTCACTAAAACTACTGCTTCAATGAATACAAGTTTTTCCAAGTACCACCATCTTGACAGATTGAAGAACAGTATCAGAGCTGGACTTTTACTCTTCTGGTTTGTTTTGCTTTGCTATTAAAACCCCCCAAAATAACAGAAACATTGTTAGTGGTTGATTAGTTAAAGGAAATCTCTACATTTAAAATTACAAATATTAACAAAAAGATTCCTAGAAGCTGGAAAATTCGTAGCCTTGACCTGAAAATCAAACATGGCTTCTTTGCATTTAAATCCTAGTGATTGGTCCAAACTGAAAAACTGTTTATCTCTTTAAGTCTTTAGTTAATGCAGGGTAATTAGGTTAGACACATGCCAGTCAAGGGAGTAACTAAAACCAGCGAGTAGCAAAGTACTGAAAATAGTCTTTCTCTTCTGATTATCTTCTGTTTCGACCGAAAGTGTCGACGACGACCCAGTTTTACAAGTTAAATTTGCTGTACCGTAATTCCACGACACTATACGCAATCTGAAAAATTTCAACGGTTTCTGAAAGGGGAGACGTTGCGCTTTCCAGCCAATATTTGGTTATTACGGTAATTTCTCTCCCGCCGTAGCAAGGAGCACGTGACGAGACACTCTTAATAGACGGTAAATTGCGAAAATAACCTGGTTGATATTGAAAGTTCTAGTTGTTAGGGAGAAATGGGCAGTATATATTTACTCACAAGACATTTAAATTACTGCGTACAATTAAAATAGGCAACGGTATCCAGGCGGAAAGTTGGAACTTGGGCTCCAAACGCTAAACTGTGTATGTAGCTAAGACGACCAGAGAACGAGATCAGCCATTATTCAGACCGATCCGGAGCCCGGACTGGATCAGATCGGAACATCCCTAAGCGTTATGAAAACCACTGGCAGACCAGCAGCCTTTTTATGGAAAGCACAACTGCAGTGAGTTAAAAACACAAATACAGCGCTAGCTTTCCAAACCATGCGCAAAAAGTGCCAAAAGTTTAAGCCTCATCAGCTTTAGCTTAGTCATAGCAGCAGCCATGTAACTCTGTTAATGTCTCGACTCATTTCCAGCTAACATGTGCCAATCTGAGACAAAGGAATGTGCTTTAAATACATGCATGGTCCCTCCGTGTTGCTTTGATTAGATATCTGTTCATTTCCTGTCAAGTAACATGAAAACATCCCTTCTGTGTTACTTTTCCCGTTTTTATACCAAACCTTGCATTACCAATGCCTGCACCCTGACTTTACTAAGAATGTTCCTATTTTTGTTTTATTTTTTTGTTCACACCCTCCTCAATTCCTGCAAATGTGGCTCTAATAAACCTGTTAAAAAGCTTTGTAAATTAGGATAACAATACATGCGCAAAAGATGAAATCTATTGAAGTATTTTATTTAAAGAGTAAAGAAAAGATAAACAGAGTTAATTCCTGATATTTATCTGCCTGCAGCTGTTGCAGTCAAATGTTGAGGAGGTTTCCAAGTGAATTATAACTGAAATGAAAATCCTATTTTAAAAATAAAACCAGAAAGTGAACACGTTGTGGCCGTTGTTCTGTTCCATGAGTAATCCTGTTCCTGTGTCTCAGTCTAACGTGTGTGTGTCTCCTCCCGCTCCTCCTGCCATTCCCTAATGGCAGCTCCTCCTAAACCAGTGAGTAACTCCTCATCTGTGATTACCAGCTGTCTGTTTCTGCACCTCGGGGATTATTCATATCGCTCATGTCCATTCAGAAAAACACAAGTTTGTGTCGCTGTGCGTTGAGGAGAAAAGAAGGGAAGAAAGAGAGGGAAGGAGTTTGCAGTGAGGCTGGGATTTGCATGCAGCCCTTTGTGTCAGCATGTGGAGACGAATCTCCCTGGATTCGTCGGTTCACAACAAGTCAGTGTTTTTAGTCTTTCTCAAAGGCGGTTAATGGGCAGAAGCATGAGGTTTTATGAATGATCCCTGTGTCTGTAATACATTTTCCTAATGGTAGTAAGTCTTGTCACATTAATCAGATAGTTAATAATAATAATTAACACTTATCTTTACAGTCAGCTGTGAATCTCAAAGCAAATTTGACAAATCTAGATGCAACTTGACATGTTCAGAGAGACTATTCTCAGTTTTTTTTAATTAAACAATGTTTGATCATTTCAGTTTATTCAAAAACAACAAAAAACAGAATACATTAACACATATTGTAGCACCATCTGGTGGATTTATGGTGTAATCTTTGTATTTAACAAAAACAAACAGTTTATCTACGATTGCAGATGCATCTCACTAAATCAAACTATATAAATGTATTTTGTGCTTAAATAATTCAAATTAAAAAATACTTTATTAGAATTTTCCAAAGAAAAATTAAATGTTCTTGTAACTCAGTAATTAAAATTCTTCAGTTATTGTAGATGGTGATGGCTGTTGGCTGTAACAATCTCCTGTAGCAGTCTGTATCACTGCAAATTTGAAGAAGCCTCTGTCCAAAGACTTCAGTAATTCAATTTAAAAAAGGAAAATAGTTACATTACAAATTAAATCTCACATAATTGGAATACTACATATGAAAACGACAAGGAATCTAGTGAGGAAATGTCCAGGAGGAAAAGTCACTAAAGGTCATCACCAACTGTTTGGACTGTTTCCCATCACATACACAGTATTGATGTGACGTCACACTTCAGGGAGCTTTGTAGCTGACAGCCGTCTTGGTAGATACTGTAACTAACTGGCATGATAGTTGCTATGTAGTTGCTATGACAACAATAATCAAGCCATGAGCTTAGCTAGCTCTCTTCTCGTTCCTGTCAAACTTATAAACAAGCACATTACAAGTATTATTCAGTCATAATTTTTGTGTATTCTACCCACATCTGTGTAACAAGACACATTTTCTGTAGTAGTACTTATTACCGAACTAGCAAAATTAGCTTAGCTAATGTAGCTTATATCTGCAAGCAAAGACGAACATGGCCTACGTGTTGGTGTACTTACTTTGCCAGTGACCAGACCCGTGTCGTTCACATGAAGAGTTCAAACGTCCTCTGCAAAGCCGTTGAAACACTGATTGTAGGATTTCAGGTCATGAAGCTTCTCCATGGTTTACACACTTCTTCGTGTTCACTAGTAGTTAACCATGTAGTGGGAGATCTGACGCAGCGTGTTTTCGTTCTCCGTCTCACATGGGCCTATTCTGACAGCAGCCATTTTGTTGATAGACATTTCTCTTGCACATTGGTCAAGAGTGTCAGTATACTTCGTTTTGTTGGTCTTGAAGCCATGGTTTCTCTATGGTGTGTTTGCGCTGCGTTGCTCACCAAGATGGTCCAGATCACTTCTGGTTCAGACTTAGTGGAAAGTTGAGTGGAAGGAGCAAATGTGGCAGAAAAAATGGCTGCACAAGTGACAGGGATGACGGTGACTTTTGGAGAGTTATGAAACAAATTCCATGTAAAAGTTTGGGAGAGACTTGCGACCGTTTCTGGCCCAACAACGGCTGTCAATTGGTACCAGCGCCCCCAGAACTCTGCATGGGAAAGCAGAGAGGTATGGCTGGATGGATTGATGGAAGTTTGGGAGAAATCCACAAGGTGGAGACTGCAGCAGTAGTCAGGGCTTCACAGACATATCCAGATCATGGACTAGAACTGTCACATTTCTCCTCTGCTGCACCAGAAACAACGTCCAGAGTGTCTCATCTGGGTCAAGGAGGAAAAGAACTGGAGAGGAACTCGGTCTGAACAGATTGGATTTCATTTTTACAAATAAAAGCCTCAAAGTCTGGAGGAAGAGTTGAGAGGCACAGAGTCCTTGTTGCTTGAAGTTCAGAGTGAAGTTTCTGCAGTCAGTGGCCAAACTGGGTTGAGCTGCACCTAACAGTGGATCATGGACAATATGAAGACGAGAAACACCAGAACACTGCAGCCGACCTGAAGGACGCAAACGCCTCAGCAGAGCCACAAGACGATTGATCCCTACCAAAGTTGGACAGTAGTTACATTTATTTTATTAAGTATTGCTATTCTTAATTTAGTGGAATTTCTTTATGCCATACCCACTGTGAGTAACTTCACTGAATGGAAAACAAACATGTTTTAACCAAAAAGTCACCAGACACAGACACACTTGCATAGTTCATACTTATACTAAGTCTAATTAATGCTTATTAAATCATTAACAGAAATAAACTGTTGACATCTATCACTCTACGTGTAATGAACCCAGTGAATTATTAAAATAAATTATTTTTTTATGAATATCCTGATTTACTGAGATGCATCTGTTCATAGAAAAAAATATTGGTATCACTTTATTTGAAGGGGTGTGCATAACACAGATGACACTGTCATGAACGTGAAGCAGTCTATTTGTTTATGACTTTTCACTATAACACTCATAAACAATGACACTCTTAATGCAAGTTTGCATTAAAAGTGTCAATATCTATTAAATAATCTAAAGTTGACACTTTTAATAAATTTTTAACGGACTTTCAATTTAAGTTTGCACTAAAACCTTTGCACTTTAAGTGTCATTATTTACTGAATAATGCAAAGTTGACATTTTTAATGCAAATTTGAATCCAACTTTGCATTAAAATTGTCATTAATAACCAAATGACACGTTAGTTAATCTATGAAGACTCTTTCATGTTCACCACAGGTGTTATGTTCATGACCGTGTTATGTCACAATCCTTCAAATGAAGTGATACCAAAAATCCAGCTCAAACTCCTGGAATCAAAGATCTTAAGCCTTTATATGTTTATTTTTTTACCTGACATTCTCAGGAGATATTTTTAGACCGTCACTGTGTTTGATTTCCATATCCCTCTGGTCCCGAACCTCTCCTGTATGCCGCGCCCTAACTTCTCCTGACCAACCCAGACTCTGACACACAGCACAGCATGTCGGACGGGGAGGAGCAGCTGGACCGCCTCCAGCAGGCGGAGCTCACCCGCACCACCTGCATGTCCCACTGGAGGGCGGGGGCCGTCCAGGCCTGGATGGAGGTGGTCATGGGGATGCCCATGTACATCCGAGCCTGCTCAGAAAATGTCAAAAGTGGAAAGGTTTGCCTTTACTTTCACTTTCTCGACCTTTCTTTATGTTTTAATGAATTTTAAAGTAGCATAACCTTTCTTTAAGAACGGGGTTTTTTTTGGCTGTTTAGGTGCTGCTGAGTCTGACGGATGAGGATTTAGAGCTGGGTCTGGGTATCGGTAATCAAATTCACCGCAGAAAAGTTAGGCTGGCCATTGAGGACTACAGGAGAGCAGAGGGGGAGCAGGGGTAAGCAAACGTTGCTTTTTCAGAAATTTGAGATTTTAATGTCTCAGCTAACTTTAGTCTGTGAGAATTATAAGATAAAATCGTCATTCAAAGCTACTTTTTTCCCTGGAAGTCACGTTTTAGCTGTTATTAGTCACTTATATTACGCAGTGAATATACGCAGTTTATTTTTATTTTTTTGAACAAACAACGGCACACAAAAAAACAACGAACTTTTCGTATCCTAGCAACGCAAGACAAGATGAAACCAGATCCGGTTAAGCACGCTTCAAAATAAAACACTTCCTTTTTCCAAAATAAATCATGTTTGGCATTTAAATACATTTCACTTCACCTTTTAAAATTATACTATTACGTGTTATGTGAAAAGGGGGAAAATACAAATTAATACTTGTAGGAACTATTTCTCTATTTTCAGTTAAATCTCAGAATTCAGATTATTTATTTATTTTATTTTTTGCTTATTTTCTAGTTGATTTATCATTAGAATTTTTATTTAATTTGTTATTTAAAATAAGTTCTTTGGTTAGTAATTCACTTAATTAGTTGAATTCACCTTTTGCTTTGATTGAAGTTTTTTTATTTCTGAGTTAGAGTTTTAGACAAATAGTCACTACAATACTTTTTCCTGGCTGGTTTTCATTCATGATTTCTTTAAGAAGTTATATTAACTGTTAATATTTTTATTGAGTGAATCAAATAAAAAAATAAAATGGAAGTGAAATGAATTTATATAATCATGTTAAAATGAGTGAATAATAATCATGTAAATGATACTTAACATATAGCTGTAGATAAGTCACAACATCTTATATATGGAGCACAGATGCTGTCAAATTGTGTGTAAGGCCAAAAATGTAAAATGCATCATTTTCCATGACAGATGGAGGCTAAATATTCAAAAGGTTAAAACAGAGTACTTTTCCTATTCTGCATTCAGCCTTCCTGTTATTTCTAAAATTCTAGGTCTCTCTCACTTTATTTGCCAAAAATAGAAAACAATTTGCTTTTAAGCAGCTTCTTACTCCTCACTGGAACTGAACAGAGTCTAGAGTCTACTTAATAATATACCTGCTGTTATTCAGTCTGTTGGATGTTTGACTGATTCATTAGGTGGAAAAAATAGTTTAGTCTCTAATCTGTGTCTTGCCATCCTCAGACTGTCTAAAGCATCTGAGCTGGACCATCATTGGGTCTCGACGTCGTGGCTGAGTGACGTCGGTCTGCCTCAGTACTCCCAAACCTTCCAGACCAACTTAGTGGACGGTCGGGTGCTGAACTCGCTCAGCCGCAGAGACCTGGAGAGATTCCTGAACATCTGTGACCATTTCCACCAGACCAGTCTGCTTCTGGCTATCCAGCTCCTGCAGATGCTCAGCTTCGACAAAGAGGTCAGGTCACGGACTTTGCTACAGTGGCTGACTGTTGGTGTGAATAACAATGAAAATTTTACTTTTTAAAAAATCACATAACTGTACAGCAGACAGGAAATTTAACCAAAAAAGACACTGATTAAAATATCTCTCAATCCTTTAAAATTTGAGAGTCAAGGACCAAGGTTTTAATTTTCAGTTCACATTTGTGTTTGTTGGGTGTAAGAAATAAAATTATACCGATGTGTCACCAAAGCCTGGCCATGATTTCATTAAATACATTCTTAAGAAGTCACTTTTCTTTCTTTCCTTTTTTTCAAGGCCCTGCAATTACGGCGCTTAAAATGTGAGCATGAAAACCGGGACCCGCTGGTCTGGACGTGTCACAGAGTGATGAAGTGGATCAAGGACATAGACCTCAAGGTAGGAGCAACCCCACACACCACCATTGTTTACCCCACACACCACCATTGTTTACCCCACACACCACCATTGTTTTGTAACTGTAGACCTTCACAGGATATTGAAACTTTTCACCTTTGTGATATAAATGCAGCTCTGTAAAACACTAAGAGCCCACTGCACTGAACCCCATTGAAAACCTCCTGGTTTTTCCACCAAATATTGATCTCTTAACTCTTCCTGAGTTAAAACATTCGTGTTTTTGTTTCTAAATGAATATGAACTTGTTTTTGTTGCATTAATTGAGGCCTGAAAGCACTGTATTTTTTTTTTTTGTGGTTATTTTGACCATTTCTCATTTTCTGCAATTAAACACTACATTTTTGCTTGGAATATCACAGACATGTTGTTAATAGTTCAGAGAATAAAAGAGCAATGATCATTTGACTCAAACATAAACCTATAAAGAGTAAAATCAGGGAAACTGATGATTATAAGTGATCGCTTAATTTTTTTACATAGCTGTATTTCATCAATCTATATCTAAAGTGTAAATGTTAAACTTTTCATCTCCCACAATAAATAAATACTGTATTTGAAGCTTTCTTTTCCTGGTATGGTCGCAGTGACATCACAGTGTTGTGCTTGTTAGCATCTCAGACACTTTTATGTGACTCATTTCTTCCTCATCTTTCTCTGTAGGAGTTTGCAGAAAACCTTCAGGGAAAAGGCATTCACGGTGCAGTAATGGCTCTGGACCAGTCCTTCGACACAGAGGCCTTGGCCAACGCTCTGGGAATCCCCAGCAACAAACACATGCTGCACAGACACCTGTATGAAGAAATGAAGTCACTCTCTGCTCCGCTCAGGTAGCATAAACACTCTGCCCCCTGCTGGTGGTGTTCATCCCTTCAGCACTGTGCAGTAAATAAATGATTTATTAACATTGCTGCTAGTCTGGAATGTCCCATAAATTCTTCTGTGTTGTTAATCTCTGAATCTCTTTCCTCTCTGTCTACAGTAACACAGAGCAGGGCTCTGAGGTTATCAGCTCTTCTTCACCTGTGGCTGTTAACCGCTTTGCTGATGAAAGGTCCTCCATCAGGAGATTAGGAAAGGTACCTTGTCATTTCTCACCTATCAGTGAACGACTGGCCCGCCGGTCTGAAGTCCAAAGCTGAAGTCACTGGTTCCTTTGTGCTTGTTAAAGCACAAACATTGCTAACAAGAGTACAATGACAAATTAAACACCTCAACCATTTAATTTTAGGAGATTATCTCAAAACCCACAAAGGCTTTGAGATTGGAGTAAGTTTCTTTGTTTCAGCAGAGAGAAGATAATCTGGAAATACCTCGCTGTTCTACGGGAACATTTAACCTGCACAGTTAGTGCTTTTCATCCACGAACCTTTTAGAATAATTAAACTGAAGAATAAATGAGAAACAGACATGAACATCATTTTGGAAGGTCATTGTGAGTTCATGAAAATACTGCGTTGAGTTGGAAATGCACCCACTTCACTCTGTAAGTTATTTCTAGTTTCCACATTTAATATAAATATTTTTTTTTTCCTTTTTGTATCAAGTAAAAAAACAAAAAAAACATGCAAAGACCTTTTCAGACACAAACCAACTGAAATTAATACAGGAAGCTTTTCAACTCGCCAAACTACAAAACTTTAAGCTTGAAATACCAAGTCTGTCACCAGAAGGATTGAGTTATTATCAGATACTTCAGATAATTAATCATTTTTACCGTTCAGCTGCATTTTATATAATTTTTGCTCTGATACAAACCTTTCCGACCCAAGGCTGATGACCACTCTGTTGTTCGGGTGAGCTTCTGCAAAGTAGAACAAAATGTCCCCAGAGGTGCAATGATTTGGTGAAATGGTGGTGAAGGTCCATGAAGGCAGCAGACTTATTCATAATGAAACTATAATAGTAAAAGTTACTTGTTAGTTTTGTCTTTTAAACTGGACTAATATTATTTACTGTAGAAACTAGACTAAAATACTTGGTAAGTATAGCTTTCAGTACTATTAATCCTTAACTGAAAATATTTTAAAATTTTCTCTCTTTCGGAGAGAAGTCTTTTTTTCAGACAGCTAACCAGCAGTCTCCAGCAACAGGTTGGGGAGGGACCGCCTTGAATCCGTAGAAAAACAAACAAATAAGCAGTTTAATTTCTTGTGCCTTCTTTTCAGAGTCCGCTGAGGCTACGCGCAGAAAGCCACTCCGTGGAGCGTGGCCTGGGTTTCCATGGCAACTGCGGCTCTCTGCCCAGAGAGGCCAGAGTTCACGCCGTTCCCCGCGCCAAAGGAAGCCCCATGCACACCTTCAAGAGCGTCGAAATCACCAACGTGTGAAGGAGCCGTGGAGGCCTCCTCTGTTTGCACCGCCGTTGGTTGGAGCTCTTCTGAAGGTGTAGCCAACGTTATTCTGTAGATCAGATCTGCTTCTGTAGGCGGGAATAATGCACCTCAACAGACCTGATGTAGCTGTTGTACATTGATGAATTGTCTAAAGTCATTTTTGTTTTTTAAGTTATAGTTTTTTGACTGAGGTTTATATGTAATTAATAAAAACAAGCAGAAATCATAAAAAAATAACTCAAAACTGCACTCAGTGCCCCTGTGATGCCTTATGTAAAAAGTCTCATGATCTCAGTGCTTCTGTCTACTTCTTTATGTGACCTGAGGTATGTTGTTTGTTTACATAAAACTTGTACATGTTTTTACATTCACAGATTAGAACAAACAGGTTGATTATGCTGTTTAAAAGTCTGTTTATTTCTCTTATGGTGCCATGTTTGCTAGAAAAATTAATTTGTGGATTGAGCAGCGGAGTTGAGTAAGAAGGCCCCTGAAAACTCGCCATATCCTCCCTCACAATGCCAATCCTATTTATTAGATATGGTTATTGACATTTGGGAAAACCAAGAAACATGCCAAATTAATAATTTATTCTTACACTGCAGTGAGATGCCTTCCTGTTCTTCAACAAGGATTTGTTTTGGGCATGAACCCAAGTCAAACCCAATTCAGTTCAGTTTATTGACAGCATGTAGCAGAAAGTCACAGGTCAGTTCATTATTCATTTTAAAAGTTTCTGTCTAAGGAAACCAAGTTGAATATATTGAGTCACTAACTTGCAACATTTTCTCCTTTTAGACCAACATGTAGCAACAGTCATTCACATTGTGTCGCAATCGCTTATACTGAGCATGCATGTGGCGACAGTAGAGAGAAAAAACTCCCCTTTAACAACCACGACTGACTGGCTTGTTTGAAAATACATAGCATACGCACAAAGAGACAAGCACTGATCAAGGAGTACTTTCTACATCAGAAAAAAAGTTAAAGGAAGTAGTAGCTTTTTAGTGGCTTCATCTCGGAGAGAAACAAGTCGATTTTATTTAATTTGAAAGCAAAAGCTCACTCGGAGACAGAGTTAAACAGGCAGGTTTATCATCTGTAGACAATGTTTTAGGTTTTGGCAGCATTATCTCAGCCAAATAGAGCGCCAGACCAGGTGTAGCGTCTATGAAAAGTGAAAAGCTGAGAGAAAACATGAAGCTAAACGCTGAATTAACAGCAAATAATGTAAAATTGGAGAGTAGTAGGAGAATGTAGCAGCTAGAATGATGAAATATGGTCATTACTGTATGTCTTCCAGCAGCCTAAACCTTTAGTAGCATAGTTAGAGAGATAGATCGGGGAAACCTAAGTCGCTCTAAATATAAGCTTTATCAAAAAGGAATGTTTCAATCCTGGAAAATTAAGCCTTTAAGCAAACAATCTGTCTACTTTTAAGTAGATATAAAGACTAAACAGGAGACTGATAACTAAAAGATCTGCCTCCCATTTTACTTCACTGAATAACCTCAAGTGCTCCATGGGGTTGAAGTTTTAAATGCCGGCTGTTTCCTCTCCCAAATTTTGGATGTAGAGTCCAAAAACCTGGCTCTGTTGGGGCGAGCATCGACATCTTTTAGGATAGACTTCACTTCCTTGGAGAGCAGATACAGCAGGCAAACCAGTGGATTGCCGCTGGTTTCAGATTGGATCCATTGATGACAAACTTTGTGTTTAATTGAGGGAGGTCGTCATACTGCCTCTGATTGAACCGTCATACTGAGCTTTGCTGCGTAAACCCACAAATGTAGAACATGGAATTAGGGGAAAAGTTTTAGCGTGTAATAGGCTGTGTTCACACTGCAGCCTGAAGTGACCCAATACCTGCATCTGATCTTTTCATGACACTCTGAACAACACAAGACGGATTTTTCTAATGCGACCCAGGCCACCGATCTTTTTAAAAGTGACCTGAATCTGAACGTCATTGATACTCGACAAACGTCACTATTCTGCGTCCTGATACACGCAAGGAGGAAGAAAAAACAACAACCATGGCTGACGGTAATGAGGATTAAGTTGTTAATATGCTGGCTCTGGTCGGATAGCAACTTTAACATCGTAAACTATGCTGCACCGTTAGCATCCATGCTGTAAGCTATGTGTGACGTTATTGCGCCCTCTACTGCGCATGCGGGTCACTTTCAGGTCGTTAGCAGTTCACACTGAGACGTACAAGTCGCATATATTTTGAAGCGTGAACGACCACGGCAAAAAATAAAATAAAAAATTGAATTACTATTTGACAAAAAAAAATCGGAACACTTAAGGCTGCAGTGTGAACGTAAAAACCCAGAATGCATTGATTTCATTCAAAGCACAACAAAGGAGGTATTTTCAACCTTTGAGTTGGAGGACATGGCAAATAAAAAAAATAAAAAAAAGAGTAGGCGTGTGTTTACAATCTGGCCATTTGTTAATCATTTTCGTAGATCTTCGCTCCAGACAGAGTAGTCACTAGTTTTAAATATTGGTGCTGCTCAGAGCAGTACTGTTGATGATTAGTAACCATTATGATCCAGTATTTCATAAACCGTCAGTATGTCTAGTGTGACAAATAACTGAAGAGCTACATAAACTGATGTATGTTTACATAAGCATTGACCGAAACTAGAATGTAAACTGCACCCTGACGCCGTGGATTATGCTCTTTGTTATTTAATTAATAGGTTTACCAAACTAGAATATTAAAGTTCACATAGGTTTCAAATTACCTTAATTGTTGTTGTAAATGCACAAAGGTTGTCAAAGCAACAATCCCTCATGCATAAACATCTTATATTTTTTTATAAAATTGGGTTAAATCCAAAAAGCAAAAGTAGATTTTGAATTCCAATTGTCTCTAACACCATAGCACCGTAATCATTTAATCAACAGCCACATTTTATCATCTAGTTTCCTTATTTTATTTTGTTTTTTGCTTTGATCTTTCAGACATAAAAAATAGCAGCAACCTCCCTCATGAATGGACTGAGAATAATTAAAATCAAAGAGCTTTGGTGTGATTAGCTGAAGCATTTTTTACCACCTCAACTCATTATGTGCTTTATAAGAACTCAGATCAGATGACGACTTAAACTTAACCAGAATCAGAAGGTGTAAATGTTCAAAACTAAAGGTTCTACAATCAAACTTTAAAAAGCTAATAAAAATTAAAACCATCTGATCCAAATCTATCAAATCCAGCAGTAAAATCTGCAAACTAAGAACAAAATGGGTGACAATGAAGTGTTAACAGATGAGTAAACATTATGATAAATACTTGCTTAATAACCGTTTGTCAGCAGGTTTTTGTGAGTAACATGAGCTTCCTGAAAATACTACGAAGCATTTCCAGGACGTGTCTAAATATAGGTCTTGAGCAATATTTCTCCAGACTTTTCTGAAGGTCTTTCAATGTTTTTCTTTGGACTTTGGCTTCTATAAAACTGTAAAGACTCTTAATTTGAAGGGATGAACCAGGATGTTGGTTAGAAATAACAAAAAACTTAAAATCTGACTATAATAATCTATGTAATATGTGTCTAAAGGTACAATATTGAAGGAAATTCAGTTCAGTTTCACATGCTGTTGTTTTGAATAGCGCACGTCTCCAGTGTCGGGATCATGGGTGTGGAAGTCAGCGTTCTGCTGAGTCAGCACAGTGTACTTCACCCACTTTCCTCAGTTTGTCAGCAAATATTAGTATCATGTGATTTTCATGTAGAGGTAGAACATGAATATGAATGAAGCCAAAGAATAAAAAAAAACTATTGATCAAGACCTTCAGGCTTCTTTGATGCAAAGTATAGAGATATCAGGGGTATATTTTTACATCTACATAATGTAATAAGACAGTCTTTCTTTTCTAAATCTGTTATAGTCCATTGCTCTTATCCAGTACATCAACGCTAATTATTGTGTTTTTGCACAAATGTAAATTATAATAAAATTTTCTCTCTGAATTTGACGTTTGCCATCTGATAAATTTCACGGTGGTTTGGTTCTAAAAGTTATAATGTATAAACCTGAATGTTCTTTACATCCTTAATAAAGGCAACCCTGCTGTTTTATTAATAAATCGGTTGCAGAGTTGGATTTTGCTTGCATATTTGTGACAATATGAAATGTTCTCAGCCCACGCTGCCCCCTCATGTTCTGCAGAACCGGTTCGGCTGCCAGATTCGAGGCGTCGCCTCCAGTCAAACAGCAAAAACTGTTTAAGCGGGAAGATCGGACGAGTCCGAGCCTGTTCAGAGGGATAAGAAGGAAGGATTTCACATTGTGTGATTTTTTTTGCACACAGACTAACATGACCTGGACTTTAATAGTCCTCTCCAAACTGCCAACAGCTCTGCATATATCCTACATGATGCAATAACTCCACTAACAGTGGATGTAAAAACTAATCCTAAATGTTGGCGTGAACGTTAGTACATGTTTACAACAATGTGTAAATCTAACACAGTTTTTAAAATGTCATTCTTTAGATTTGTATCCTGCAGATATGTGATTTAAATCTCAAATTACTGTGGAAACTTGTTCAGTAGACCAGTTTGGGAAGATTGGATCTTTGATTTTCCAGCAAGTTGGTAACTCTGTGGCTTCATTGGAACTAAGATTCTCAACAAAACATCTCCGTTGATCTAAAGATTCAATGCTTTATGCTTTCAGAAACATGCCATGCATACCTTGACCGTAGCACACCGTTATTTACTTTCTGCCACCTTAAACCAGTTTGTTCGTCCGTCTTTAACATCAGAATCCACTGAGTTTCTGCTGTCTGGTTCTCTGTATTGGCCTAAACATGCAAACCCAGTGAAGTGATCGTATGTAGACTGGTGTAGTTTGGTCACCCACTGGTTCATAGACAGCAGCATTTATCTTGGCTTAGCAGTTAGTTGACAGATTCTGTTTGAGAAAGGCAGCAGACTTTTGCAAAATTGACTTAGTTGTAACTCTATTGGTTTTCAATCCATTCTAAAGTTTTTATTGAACTTGAGTTTTTAGTGTTATCTGTTTATATATTGATAAAGATTTTTTAACTGGTTCTGGAAAGTTTATAATTAAAACCAACCTAACAAAAAACGGGTTTTTTTTTTTAGGTTTTTTTGGAAAATAAATGTAAAAGTCTCAACCTGTCAGTGGTAAATGTAGATCAGATTTTAATCCGGAACTACTTTCAGCTTTTCTTTAGTCAGAGCTGAGTTTATATCCCACACATAACCAGCGTTTTTATATAAACAGAGTTTACATCCTGATGAAACTCACTCTGAAACAATACAAATAATCCAAATTCATTAGATTTAATAAAAGAATAACATCTAGTATAATATAAAATGTAGTCACGTCTGCATTTGGTTATTTTTCTTAAGTGAAGGATGGAGCTGGGGCAAGAAATGCACTGAATATTTTTGTGTTTAAGAATAAAACAAAGGTTTCATTTTGCACAAAATGTGTTTTAAAGAAACTCTATGGCGTTCAGCTGTGACCAGTCTAAAAATTACTGATTATAAACAAAAGATTAATAAATGTTGTCAAAACAACTAAAAAAATACACAAAATCAGCTTTTTTTTAAGCTGCTGCCTATCACTGGTTACCCAGTCCCCCTTAAAAATAATTTTTTAATCTCATTACTGACTTTTTAGTTAAATAAAACAATTAAAATTAATAAATCATCTTAACCTTAATCTGAAGTTGTGATTCATACTCTAACTTTAGCATCATTTGACACCTGCAATGTATGGTAACATTTATTACAATGTTGACCCTATGGAGGGTTGTAAATAAAGAGGCCTATAGGCATTTTTAGCAGAATCCACCAATAAACATAAAGGTAAGGTAATTTATTTATATATCACATTTTCAGCAATAAGGTAATACAAAGTGCTTTACAGGAATTAAAAAGAAATATAAACAAAATAACCAAAGGAAGGAGCAAAGGAAGAAAAATAATCTAATGTTGATCTAAAGTATGTAAACGAGGTGCTCCTGTTCAGGGTTGATAAGTTTCCTCTGGTCCATTTTTGGGTTGGAAGAACAGGAGTCTCTCTGCATAATAATCTAAAACTTAATCCAAGAAGTAGAATATTGGTCTAAATAGAGAGTACTCTACAGTTTCTAACAAAATAAGCTAAAGAGTGAGTAATCTAATTCCCTTTCTTGTGTAAAAGTGAGTACGGCCCAGTTTCTAAATAACTGATAAGTAGATGAAAATACAACATTGGATAGGATATAACAAAGACACGCTGGCAAAGGCGTTGAGGTCAAGGAGTGTGTGTTTAGTGAAAACAGTGAGACAAAAGTACACACATTAAATGGGCCATTTTTCATATATAAAATATATGAAAGTTAAGTCTATATAAAAGATTTTCTGTGTTTAGCTTTAAAATGAAACTTAAATGCTTCACAGCAGTACAAAAAGGATGAGGGTCACAAGAAAAAAAATAATTTCTGACTTTAATCTCAGAATTCTGTCTTTCATCAGAATTCTCTTTCATCTCTCAATTTGTTTTTTGTTTCTTTAAAAATCTAACTTTGATCTCAGACGATCAAAGTCAGAATTTTGAGTTTAAACTGAGAATTCTCATGAAAAAAAAGTGAGAATTTTCAGAAAAAAAAGTGAGAATTTTATTTTATTTTATTTTTGGCCCTGATCCTTTTCAGTACCGCTGATTGTGTTATTTTAGTTTTGCCCACACAGGATATGAAGCGGAGTGGCGCTAGGACCGGGCAGAACGCGCCGGTTCTGGTACCGCAGGCAGAAGGAGGTTTCACTTCGGCCGCAACCTGTTCAAAGTCCCCTGGTCTCTTTTGTCCCATTAGGGGTCGGGGGTCACGGCAGGAATATTCATCAGGAATTTCACAACACAACAAGTGGGTTTGAGTAGTGGCGTTTGTGTTGTTTTTTATTTTATTTGTTATTTTTTCTTTCCTGTTTGTGATTTGGTCTTCCTGAATAAACACCTGCGGGATTCAGGTGACTCCCCGATGAAGAGGGAAGTTCTTGGGCGGTGAGCGGTAAAAAGGTAAGGTCGCTTCTAAACTTTGACAGAATAAAACCGGGACGACTTTGTACTTTGCTTAAGTTTTAAAGCGTCCTTTCACTGTAAAGAGTCGCCCAATTATATTGTTGTTGTTATAAAGTCTTTGTGATAAGGTGGGACAGGTCCTCCCTTCCTACTTGACAAAAATGGAAGGAGCAGCCGCTCACTTTCCCTCCGATTATCTCCTCTCTGCACCTCCACAACGTCTTATTGGTGGGGGGCTGTTAATTTGTCACCCTAATGAGCATGAATTGAGTTAAAACTTAGTTGCAGCACAGACGTTTTTTTTTTGTTTTTTTTTTAAAAAGATTGGAAATTTACTAATGTCGCACAGGTCACGCCCATGCACGCTGTCAAACAGGTCTGGCGCAAACAACCACAACCCGGTGAATCATAAAACCGGACACGGATGGACAGATGGGTGGGCTTCTCTAGTTTGACAGCTACCGGCAAACCACATGTCTGAAAATGGGATTATAAAACCGCAAAGTCACGTGTTTTTATTCATTAAACTGTACGACACTCGTACTTTCAAAGGGGAAATTAAATCCAGAATAAGTTCTATGATTAATCTGAATTAAGAAATTACTGAAGATTTAGAGGTTAAGAATCTGTTAAAAAGACAGATTTTTTTTTTATCTAGCAGATGATTTAAAATGGTGCAACCAGTCAGACAAAAATATATGTGCCAATTCTCAAAATAGTTGATACAAACAATTTGTATAACAAAATAAAGAGTACAAGCAGAAAATCTCACTTTAGCACAAACTGTGGGTGTAAATCTGCAGCTGATATATTACTGTTTATTTTTCAGTCAACTAGCCCTTCTTTTGAATGACAGTTTTGTTTACAGACACTTCATAATTCGTTTTTATTTGTGTTGTTTTATTTATTTATTTTGGATATTTAAAATGTCTTACAGTTGGTTCTAAAGGTTCATTACAATTTAAAGTTTATTGAGCATTGAGAATGTTTTCTTGCATTATCCTTATATTACTTGAAAATGGTCTCAAAACAACATTATTGTTTATCGCAATAACATCTGGGACAATTTTAATCCCAGCAGAAGTTATTGTGACAGACATATATTTACATATGAGTTTCAGTTTGATGTGTAAGTCAATGAACTTTAACTCAATGACATAATCAAACTGATTAAAAAAAATTACCTACCAATAAAGAAATAAACTTCACTGGAGGCTTTTCAAAGCCTTTTGACATAATTAAGTCATAAAACAAAGGAGATAAAAATGCTGATTAGATTCCAAACCAAATAAATAGTAGAGGTGAGTGTTTCTGTCCTTATAGCTTAAAAATATGAACTATAAAAAAATTATAATTTCACAAAAACTTCCATATTATAAAGTAGAAAACATTGTGCATGTTAGATTTAATGCCTAATGTTTAAAGATATTACAAAGTCAAAAGAAGTACAAAAAGCCTTAAGATTGTCTCTGAAGTTGTGGGTTTCCAGAACTTCTTTCATCATGTAAAAACGTCTCCACAATTTATAAGAGAAGCTGCTGGAACAACTCCAAAGATTTATCTCGTTTGAATCTTCTCCCTCTTATTCGTCAGCTTTATAGTTATGACAATTTATGCCCTTTAAAAATTACCAATAAATCAAAAATACTAAATTCAAACCTTTTAAACAGGAATCCCCTCCACAGAGGTATAAAAATTAGAAAATGACATAAAACTAAGGGATTCACAAAAAAATTAACAATCTTTTTAAAAGACTGTAGAAAAAGCCACAACTCTTAAAAAAACTATTTATAGCATTTACTTAATATTAAACTACATCTTTATAAAGTTTATATAAAAAAGTCAAGTTTTCTAAGTGGATAATTCAATTTAAGAAAAAAAATCACTGTATAATAACTAGTGATTAAGACAAAATCAAACTTAACACATCTTAGTAGTAGTGAGATATTATGAATAAACGTAGGTTTTTTCCCCCAATATTTAAAAGTATTGTTGTAAAATGCAGACAGTGGTTTCTGCTCCTGTTAAGTCATGGAGAGCAGCGTTTGGGCAGGCGGCGCCGCGGTTGTAACCGGGTTTTCAGGATGCAACAGCAGCTGGAATATGAATCCTGCATTTCCATGAAGCTGGTCAGTCATGAAGCACGCTAAAACTGACTTTTAGTCGATAAAACTCATGGGACCAACACTCTTCCTCCATTACCTCAGACTTGAATGTAAAATAGAAACTTTAATCAGAAAAGATGACCTTTGACCTCTCCAGTCCCTTAGTATCCTTTGTCTGATTAAGATATTTGTAACATTGTCTGGAGTTCAGGAGACATTTTGTTTTTTATTGTCTGTAAACTATAATAATTGAAATGGATAGAAATAAGCATAAAAAGGTCTTCTAAAATGACTCGACCTTTAGTTTTGATTTATGTGAATTAACTTTGGATGATCCATTTTGTTGGATGCGTCTGGATAATAAATCATTAACAATATTAAATTATCTTTGTGTCTGTTAATGTGATGTGATGATGGATATCTGTGGGGGTTTTTTACATTCAACAGAAAAGAAATCTGCTGTAAAACAGAAATTATGCTGAGATTTACATTTTTTTTTATCTTTTCCTGTTTAAAAAATTTAATGTATTGCAGTAGATGGGTGATTAATATAAATTTATTAAAACGGCGGATGGAAAGCTAAATAGTTTTACTTTTCTCCGATCCAGAACCGAACAGCATTCTGGGAACTTCTCATGATTCGCTCAGCAAAGTTTGTAACATCAACTATCTCTCTGGCTTTTTGGTTACCTAGCAACTCACTGTCCGGTTACCTAGCAACAGCCTGTCGAGTAACTGCCGCAGTTAAAGATTTCACCACTCTGCCTCAAAACCGTTTAAGAATTAAAAAAACAGCACTATGACGTGAAAACTGTGGATAAAACAGGAACGTTCAGATCACCAGTTTATCAGAATTTCACATATTTGAAAAACTTAATAATTAGAGAAATCGACTGATATGAAATGCTTAAATGGTGATAAGTTTTTCAGACATAAAGTCCAGCCCTAGATGGATATTGTGATAGATGTTAATCCTCTTTTTTTTTGTAGATTAACATTGTATAACATACCAGATTTCTAACACATTAATTTAACTAAGTTTAAGTTGTGGTTCATTGACTTGAATAATCCGGGCATATGTAGCGGTGTGCGTTGTTGTTTTTCCGCTAGATCTTATCGGTTATACAGAGATAGCCAGCCTGTCGTTCTGTGAGTATCGTTCCTCTCCGTCTCTCAAGCCGGTGCTCGTCATGTTTGGACGTGCTCTGCCAGCCTCCGAACTTCCACCTCACGACTCGTTCTCATGCAAATTCACCGCTGAAAAATGGAGCCATCCGAACTCTGTTCCTGCTTTTAGCAGCAGAACTACTACACAGTAATTGTAGATGGCAAGAATGCTTCAATGGGGGTGAAATTGAGGAAGAAAACCTACTTTGAAGTGTTATCAGAGCTTCTTCACAGCGTAACGCGCCACACTTACCTCCAGGGCTGAAAACAACAGATTGATCAAGATGAATTGATTATTTAAATACTTTCAACTAATTTAGTAATCGATTAATTAGTAACTGGAGTATATAGACCCAAAAAAGGCCAGTTGCTGAAAGAACAACATATTCAGTAGTAAGTAGACCAAAGCTGTACAAAAATGTATACATTTTGCATTTTAGATTTAATAAAACCTTCTTTATCTGTAAATGTATTAGAACTCCTCTAGTTACATAGCTTTAACTTCAAGTGTTTAAATGTGTTAAAAGAAATATATATTTCTAACAAATTATTAATTGAGATCAGCTCTAAATTGTATTTATTATTAGTCAAGAAAGAATATTTTCAAATGTTAGAAAAGGTTTTTTAGCTGCAGATGCATCCTTTGTTACTACTGGTCAAAGGTTCACTGAAGGAATGCTATAGCATTATATTTTAGGCTATAACATGTTTGTTTTTCATATTTAAAAGAGGAATTAAACTATTTGTGTATTTTAAAAATAATAATGTATATTACTTTAATGCATTATTCTTTGTAATAATGCAAATAATAATAGAATATATGCATTGATCATATTGCTACAAATAATCTTAAGAGGTTAAATAAAAAATCTACAGAATGTGCCAGTTTTTTAAAAATATGACTCCTGGATTAATCTGTAGAATACTCAGCTACAATAATAGTTGCAGCCGTGATACAAAAAACGTTTTATTAATTATCTACATTATAAGTTAAAGAGTAAAACAGTAGAAACATTTATGATCCTTGCCATTAAAACAACTTGTCTTCTGTTTGGTTGCAGCGGTTTGTCCGGCCAGTATGTGTTCCAGTCGAAATATATGTGGGGGCAACAACCAGCCCAACAGAACCAGGTCCGAGTCCAGAGGCTCAGGGGCCCACTACGCGCTGTGCGCCCTGGGAGTGGGACTCGTTGCCCTGGGGATCGTTATGATCGTCTGGACTATGATTCCAGAAGATAAGAATACAACTGGAGGCTCAAACAGTACTGTACCGACCGCAGATGGTGGGAAAGACACCTCACCGTTCGCCTCCCCGATCGCTCTGGGTCTGGTCGGGGTGGGAATGTCGATGCTGCTGCTGTCGGTTTTCCTCGGTCTGAGGAGCAAGAGGAGAAGTCAGAACCAAAATGCCCAGCCAGCGAGAGGAGCAAGCGCCTTCATGGACCACGTCGCAGGAGAGGAACAGCAGTGAGTGTCGCCAGCTACCTGCTCTGCTCCTGAATGTTTTAATAAATAAACTTAACAGAATAATGTTACCACGTTCCTAATGCAAAAAAAATTTAAAAAAATATGTTTTTGCAAAAACTTTGGGGGGCGGGGGGAAATCACCACTTCCTTCTTTTCAAAAAAAAAAAAATCAGTTTGGCCATTATTTTAGGATATGCAAATTGTTGACGTCCATATCTTGTGATTTTAGCGCCCCCTGCTGCCACAAATGTAGATCATGAGACTGAAATGTAATTAGAGCAAAATCCAAGCCAAAAGCATTTTCTATTTCGGAAACTTTGTAAAAATATACCCTGGTAAATCCAAAATATTTTTATTTAATTTTTGGTAAAATCAAAAAAATATATAATTTTCTTTTTTTTTTCTTTAAGAAATCAAATACCATGAATCATGAAGGCATTTCTAATCAGAAACTAGTGGAAGAGTTGGTTGATTGAGGTTTCTCTTTTATAATCTGACTTTAATTTTTGTTTTGTGTGAAATGTGTAAAAATAAATGTAAAATATGTAAACGAGCATATTGGCCTTTATATTGGCTCTAAAGGGCAACTTTGGCATCATTGCCAAAGTTGCCAAAGAGCAATGGCCACTAAAACAAATGTAAAGTCTCACGCCAGTGAGGATTAATTTGGAGATTTGTCCAAAGACAAGAAGACACTCAGAAGAAATGTTGGCTGAATGCTCTGGCTTGGAGATCTAGCAAATCGGCACCCTACAAAGGGTTTTAAACACGCTCTCTTATGATCCCAGTTTGCCTGCAGTTCACTGGTAAAAGACTTCTCATGAAAATAATAAGAGTAACTTTTGTCCTTGTTTTGAGGACCTGATCATTAGCAGCTGTGTTGCAAAGATATTCTATGTTGCAGTAACTGTGCAAGTCTCTTTTTTTTTTCTACATGATCAACTTGTGTTTTACTTTTGAGCAATTAATGCCACCGCAGAAATATAGCAGTGAGATTTTTCTGAGGAGACGATCTGCTGTAGCTCAGTAATTTTGTAACTTCTTCTATGGTTAGCTTTAGCTAACGCTGCACACATTGCGATCAGGGCTAGTCAAGCTTTCAGATGGTGTTTACAGTCAAATATTATCTCCTTCATTTAGCTCAGATACAGAGAAAAATGGAATATGTTAGTTAATTATTTGCAAAAAAAAAACTGCGTTAGATGCAGCATGGTGTGGCTGTCGACTCCCTGTTATAAGTAGCAGCCTTCAGTTCGGGTCTGGTGCCGATGCATCACCATTGACCATATTTGGCTGTGCTTCCTGTTGGGTTTTTTTAATTGTTATTATTTTTGTTTTTTGGGATTGGTGGGGTTAAGTTAATTCAGAAAAAGCTTTTTTAGATCATATTTCTGCTTTGAAAAGGAAGACTGCTTGTCATTGATTCGTATTTCCCATTTTCAAGACGTTTGTTTTCTGGCTAAAATATGATATGAGGTTTAAATGTGATCATTTGTTTGGACTTAAATCTTAAGATTTCTTCTAAAGAGTTCTTATGAAGCAGGACAGAAAGTGTCAATGGGGGAAAAAATCATAAAGTTTGAAATCACTTTGTCATGCAGTAAAAATGTTTGAACATATCTGTCCTCATTTATATTCTCTTATTGAATTTTAAAGTCTGTCTTTATCATTGTTCCTTGATAAAATATTGTAATTGTTTTATTGCCCAGCACTAGGTTACAGCCTAAAAGGTTGAAGTTGGAACATGGCTAAACAAAACTAGAAAATGATAATAAATAAATAAACGAGATCGTCTGTGCAACTTGTAGGCTTAGTCCTGTTAGCATTAGCAACACTTTACTAGCTGTTAGCAGCATTTATGAACTCTCAGCTGTTTGGCCAAGTGGTCTGAGGTCTAATCAGAGACGAGCTTTTATGGGTTTAAGTGTTTGCAGACAGACTTTTATGGGTTACCTGAAGACGGCCTTTGGTTCTGAGTTTCACATTCAGTTTTGCTTCACTTCACAACTTTTATTTGAATGCAATTGGTACAGCAAGAAGCCAAGTTTAAGTAAACTGTCACACACAAACTCCATAAACTACTCTCCCCGTACAAAGTAAAAACCTTTTTAGTAAAAGCCAATAAAATCTGGCTTCATTCAAGCAAGATGCATTTAAAGGGGACCTATTACGCTAAATTCACTTTTTGCACGTTTTTGCACTTCTATTTACTTCTAAGAAACAGCCAAACGCGCTTAAAAAAAGAAAGGTACACCAGGAATTCTTTGGCAATCAGTTAATGTTCTTTGGTGTCTGGAAAATTAGCTGTTTTGAAAATGTTGCATTAAGTCACAAATCAGCAGGGGCTTCCCTTCACCTCGCAACCCCAGCAAAGCCCAGCTTGTTACCTAGCAACCCAAGCTAGGTAACAAGCATTTGGTCAACTGTATGTGCTGTACAACGGCTGCTGGAAAATGCATGTTTTGTTGCTGGCAGACTGAATTATCGCTATCTAAGAATGATTTTGTGCAAAAACTGTGCTGAACATGTTTTGTACAGCCCTATCCCAACCTGTTCAAGGAAGCTTCATAGGTCTCCTTTAAGCATTACCTTCCCTCCAGATGGTTTGTAAATGTAACATATGCTGGTATTTGTTTATTCTCAATGCTTTCTGATTGAGGGTCACCTGTTGCATCCCTTCCCAGGAACCCAGAGGCGTACAACGTGCCCAGCTATGAAGAGGTCGTCGCCAGCGGCAACTACCCCGTCCGCCAGAGCAACCTGAGGCAGAGCACCTCTCAGCTGCCGTCCTACGAAGACATCCTGGCAGCTGTGGAAAACGAGGATTCCCAGCCCGCCAACAACTCCTCAGAGAACAGCCCTCTGAACGACCAGACGCCCGCTGCCGCCGGGCCGTCCGGCATAACGGCACAGCCCAGCCTGCCGACCCGCAGCGCCAGCCGGGCCAGCCGCTTACTGAAGCCCCTCAGAGTAAGACGGATAAAGTCGGACAAACTGCACCTGAAAGACTTCCGCCTCCAGATCCGCACCCCCACGCAGAACCCAGTGACCATAGAGCCCATCACGCCGCCCCCGCAGTACGATAACAAGATGCCTGAGTTACAGTAAAGGCTCACCCTCCTGGCTTCCCAATTGGCCCGCGGCTGATTAAAACCTATGAAAATATCTAATGGATTTGGAGGACTGGCGGTGATATTTCTGAGAGCCTGTTTTAAGGGCACCGTGAAGTAGGTAGATGTGCCGGTTGGGCAGGATGATGGTGGAGGCAGACGCACTCCGGAAACGAGAACACTTTCCGCTTTATCAATGAAGCTTCGGGTCGGCTCATCAGCTCTGTCATCTCACATTAATGCATCAGAGCAAGAGTAACCGAGCAGGACAGCATTTCAGTTTTATTTATTACTCACATAAAATGCCTTTTAACAAAAATATGTTGTTGCTTTAGTTCATAAAATGGAACCATGTGTTGTGCAGAGGGAGAAACGGGAAATTATCCAGTAGATATTTGACTCGCTCAGTTTGAGATGTAAAAACTGTGATGAAAAGAAGCGAGGATGCAGATAACCTTTGAACTCTTGTTGAGATATTTACTTGTTTTTTTTATACATATAAGTGTTTAAATCTTAAAGCAGATATGTTTTAATATTTTAAAATGGTGGTGAATAAATGTTTTCCTTTTTAGTTTCTGTTTGGTTATGCTGTAAGCTTTTGTTGCAGAATTTAATAAAAGATGGATGGTGATACCATTTTCATGCTCAAGGATTCTTGTACTTTTATTTTTTTATCATTTGCATGTAAAAGTTAAATTTGGGGTAGTAAAATTTATTCAGGTTTTTAGGGTTTTTTCCCCAACAAATCAAATTTTCCTCTCACTTGAGATTAATTTAGTTACTTTTCCGCCCTCTAGTGGTAGAAATGTGAATCTTTCTAATCCAGCCCCATGTTAATGTGAAAATATATTGTTTTAAAATGAGTAAATGTGTTTAGAGCTGCACCTAATTTTTTAAATACCTACTACTTCTATGCTAATTTTGGGGGTTAAATGGTTCTTATGTTTTTAAATCAGTGATGTTACTTAAAAAGTTGAAACAATGTTTTTGTGTTGTAGTTTTATTAACATCCCTCCAATATTGCATAGCTTATGAAATCAGTAATCCGATACATGTTCGGTTTTCACATCTTCATGCATAAAAGTGACCTAATTTAAAAGATTTTCAATTTATTGTTGCATTTTTCACATTGGCTAGTAATTTAGTGCTGTTTTTTTATTACTATAGTTATTTTAAAACAAGTAAGTGGAGCAGATTTGTGTTTTTGTGAGCCTTTGCTTCTGTCTAAAGCCTTTTGCAAACTCAAACAAGTTTTCTTGGCTTGTTTTATATTTAGCTCCATCAAGTCTAACCAGTTTCTGCAGAACATAAACATTCACGCAGCATGATGCAGCCTTCACTTATGCTTGTAAAAATATGTTTTGTGCTTGTAAAAATATATTGCACTGTTTATAAAATGCCAATAGTTTAACGAAGGTGGTCAGAGCATGTTTGATGCAACTGCTCCTCTGATTAATGCTTTCCTTGGAGACGACGGATTAAAATGTCTCTTTAAGATGTTGATGGTTTGGTAAAATGTTTATTAATTTTATCCTGCTGAAATCTTCATCTTCACCTACGACCTCTCTGCGGTTTCCTCTGGTTTCTGTTTGTTCCCTCCATCAACCTCTGATGGTTTCACACAACAGCTGTATCTTATTACAACATTGTATATATATTATTACAATAATAATATATCAAGTTACACCAACAGATGTAACTTGATATATTTACTAAGTGGAATCTAAAGGAAATTGGTGGCACTGGATTTTATTTGGAAACTTCATGATTTATTTATTTTAAATTAAAGGCTCTGAATAAGTGTGCATTTTATTTCAATAAGTGAAAACAGCTTAAAATACAAAGTTTATTTCTGTTAACTTTGATGATTTTATGCTTGCAGTGAATGAAACATTTAATTTCTTAAGTAAGAATATTACATCAACCACTTTTAATACAGTAAAATGAAGTTTAGTACCTGCTGAAATATTACTTTAAATCTGAAAATTATTGATCTTGACTGTATGTGGTTTCCAATGTTGGCATATTTATACGTTTTTCAGTATCTTATTCCTTTAAAAAAAAAAAAAAAAACTTATTGCCTCATTTACAGCTTAAACCAGAAATTTACATACACTAAATAAAAGAAAATGTAGCTTTTTTCTCACTGTCTGAAGGTAAATCTGACCAATCTTTTCTTATTTTAGCTCATAATTACCCAAAACTGTTCCTATTAGATAAATGTTACAGTGTCAAATATTTATTAGTAAGTAATAAACATTTGATCAGTATTTGGTATCAATAAATTTCAAAGACGCTAAGCGTGTTGGTTAGCAGTGTTTACTGTAACTGCTGTGCAGATTATCCAGTTTGATGATGGAAAAGTTTTATTTTAACTTTAAGTTGAAACACCTGTCCTCTAGGAAACACGAAAATTCCCATAAAACAAACCACCAAATAAGTTAAAATATTTGAAGAGAGTTTATTGTAAATGGACTATTTAGACTTCTTTTTAAATGTATACAATTTTACGTCTATAGATATTTGTGCACATTAGACCAGTTTGATAATGAGTTTTATCTATTTATGTTATTAATTAAATACGCTAATTCTTGAGGAAAAATTAAAATTGCCCCCAAAACAGAGAAAAAGAAACCAAGTAGTGGAGAACGTTATTGTTCTAGACTATTTACAGATTTTGTTATTTTTAATATGGAAATAAATGTCAAATTTCTGCCAATAAATTGGTTATATCCTGACAAACGACATCAATTAAATATTTTCACTTCTCTGTAATTCCTTATTTTTATGCTGGCGGTAGTTCCAGGAGTTTCTGCAACACAAGTCAAGATTTTCCAGGTTAGTAATAATAATAAAGTGTTTAATTTGCGTTACATTTGCCGACTCAACTTCACTTCCAGGAGCTCCACCCTCGCCTGGGTTTGGTTTTTTCTCTGTGTGCAGCTGCCATGAAGCAGAGGGAGGAACAGCTGGCTGAGGGAAGAGCCAGCCCGGGGAGTCAGTCACATTCCTGGCTGGGATTCAATGACTGAACCAGACACAAACAAACAGAGAGAGAGGGAGAGACTCGCACACACTGACTGGCTGAGTGGGGAGACAGACTGAGAGTACGCCAGACTGAGCAGACGAGCCTTATTTCGGAGTGCGTAAAACCGCAGGATCTCTGTAGCAGAGTATACCCGCTGATTGAACGACTTCTCTCGCCTCGGCTTCACCACTTTTTATTCGTGAGTTCGGTTTACAGGAACTGGCCTGTGATCCCGGCAGCTTTCAGTTTTCTGAATGGACGCGCTTGGGAAGCTTCTCCGCCGACATGGAAATGCGCCTTAGCGAGCTTGTTGCCGGATGCTGAGGAAGAAAGACCCAGAGAGTTCCCCCCAGCTTTCATTTTTGAGTTTCCAGCCACAGACAACATGGAGGGCTCCGGCTTCCAGCCCCATCCCGGACTTCAGCAAACTCTGAAGCAGTTCCACATCAGCTCCATGCGCTCCCTCGGCGGACCGGCGGCGTTCTCCGCCCGGTGGCACCAGGACTCGCTCTTCGCCAAGGATGGCAAATCCGCGGAGATCATGCTCTCCTTGCCGGCCCAGACGCCCCCGGTGATGTCCGGCCCGCTCTTCATCCCGTCCGACCGCTCCACCGAGAGGTGCGAGACGGTGCTGGAGCGGGAGCCCATCTCCTGCTTCGTGGTCGGCGGGGAGAAGCGGCTGTGCCTGCCGCAGATCCTCAACAGCGTCCTGAGAGACTTCTCCCTGCAGCAGATCAACTCGGTGTGCGACGACCTGCACATCTACTGCTCCCGGTGCACGGCGGACCAGCTGGAGATCCTCAAAGTGGTGGGGATCCTGCCCTTCTCCGCGCCGTCCTGCGGGCTCATCACCCAGACAGACGCCGAGCGCCTGTGCAACGCGCTCATCTACGGCGGGACGTACCCGCCTCACTGCAACAAGGAGCTGGGCTCCCTGGAGCTGGAGCGAACCGAGCGCAGCTTCAAGGTCTACCACGAGTGTTTCGGTCGGTGCAAGGGCCTGTTCGTCCCGGAGCTGTACACGGGTCCGGCCGCCGCCTGCATCCAGTGCATGGACTGCAGACTCATGTTCCCTCCTCACAAGTTTGTGGTGCACAGCCACAAGCGGCTGGAGAACCGGACGGTGCACTGGGGCTTCGACTCGGCCAACTGGCGGGCTTACGTGCTCTTGGACCCGGACTACAGCGACAAGGAGGAGAAAAGTCACCTGGAGCAGCTTCTGAAAGAGCTGAAGGGGAAATATGATCTGACGGGGAAGCTGTCCAGTAAATCCTGCAGAGTAAGTCATCTTCCTAATTACTGGATTTTTTTTTTTTTTGAAAAATTTGATTTTTGGATATTTCAAGAGCCTCATCTCTCTGCTACATTATATGCATTGATTAGCATTAATTCTGACTTTTACCCCAGACTATCTTTGAGTTTTCTTCTGCACCATTACACTCTTTCTTTCCTTTTTTAAACATTATGACCACAGACGTTGTTGTGTTTTTTGTTGATTTAAAAAAGTGCCACTTGATTGTGAAAACATTTCAGGTTTGCCAGAATTGGACCTTTTGGTCCATCCAAACCACTGTGTGTGGTAGGAAACTACTCTGGTACATCGTCATGACCTAATTGACCACACAATGAAACATGGTGGTGGCAGCATCATGCTGTGGTAATGTTCTTCTTTGTTACAGACAGGGAAGCTGGTCAGAATTGATGGGTTGATTGAGAACCAAATGCAAAGGAAAAGAAAAAAAACTTGAAACTGGGGTGAAGATTCACCTTTTAGCACAATGTGGGGTTCAGTTCCAGTGGCCTAGTCAAAGTTCAGACCTAAAGGGGCAGTATTACATAAAATCAACCTTTTTTTAAGCTTTACATCATGTTATAATGTTATTCCGTCATTAAAACAAACCTGGTGATTCTATTATGCATGTTTGCGAAATCCTTTAGTCTCCCATGGCAACCGTTCAGCTCCTCCAGACTAGCGGCAGCAGCAATTAGGAAACAGCTGGTGGAGCTGTGAGTCTGCTGATCTTCATATATGAGCAGCATCTCAGTGAAATGCTGGTAAAAATGTTACTAAAAGCTTAATAGAGGAACATTATTATGACGGGTGTTGGAAAGAAAAGGAGCTTCTTAAAGAGACAGAGACCCAATTTCAAGGTTAAATTACAAAGTCAAATGTGTTTGTCGTATTTAATATAACTGCATTTTCACAATAACTGAACGTAACAGAGTTACTTGATTGTGCTATAAAATGTCACTGTGTGCCTTGAAAATCCCTGATACCGCCTCTTCAAATCTGATTGGGAATCTGTGGAAAGAGCTGATGTTTGCAGATTTTCTCCATCAGTCCAACTGAACATGATTTATACTTTACTTGTTACTTGGAGTTGGTCTTTTACATTAAACCCAATTAAAATACAGAAGGATTTGGGGAACTTGTCGTGACAAAATGTGAAAAAATCGAGCATCCATCCTGCCACCTCCCCCCTCTCACTCCTCAGGGTTATCGAAGGTCATCTGCGTCCTGATGAATGACCTCTCAATGACATATTTTATGAGTTTGAGGGAGGCGGGGCAGCGTCAGAAGGCTCGGAGAACAGGGTTTAATGAGGTTTATAGAATATGGAAATCTGTGTGTGTATGTGTGTGTGGGAGAAAGCAAAAAAAAAAAAAAAAGAGGGGGTTTGCGTGGGTCAGGGAAGCTCAGGGCCAAGAGACGAGGTGGCTGATTCTTCGTCACAGAGCAGCTGCTATGTGGGACTCTGATAATGAGTGGACTTCTCTGAATGCATCACCGTGGCGCTGCTCCAGTCTGAGCCGGGCCCAAAAGATGCCTCATGCTAGGAAAAATGAAGACTTTTTGGTTTTAAGTGTCCTAAAAGAAGCACTCTAAGCTAATTTATAGATTTCTAGCAGGAAATAATTGTCTGCGGTTTTCTTTTTCCAAGCGTCCTGTAGATGCGATTTATGTGTTTTCTAACGTCAGACAGCAGAGTTGATGTATCACCTGTGCAGTTATGGATTCCCTCAAAATGTTCAGAGTATCCAACAACTACACAAGTAAAAATAGCACTACTTCAACATATTTTTACTCAAGTAAAAAAGTAGTTGGTAAAAGTCTACTCAACATCATTCAATATTTAAAAAAATACATCAACATAAAACTTATGAAACTTTAACAAAAACTGCAGGTGATTGTTTGGTGACTTTTTGGTTAAAATAAGCTTGTTCTTCATTCAGTGATGTTACTCAGAAATTTTAAGTAAAAATAGCAGTGATTCATAATAAAGTTCCTCAAGTAAGAAATGCAGCATAGTAAAAATAATAAAATATTTAGTGTAAATCTAACTAGTTACTACTATAGATGCAAGTTATTGATTAATGAGTAAATCTAATGTGGATTAATCTTATGGATCAACTAACGATTAATTGATAAGTGGACATTATCTTAAAAACCTGAGTCTTTCCATAATATAAAGCACTACTTTTTCCATGTAATGAAATTAAATATTATCTTAACATCATTTTGTGTCAGCTATATTAAATACTGACCGAATAAACAGAAAATTGTGGTTTTCTCACTTTATTAACAGACATATTTGAAAAATATAGCAAAACAGCAATCTCTTAAATTGCTTAATAAACAAATAAATGTGGTAAGAATAACAAAACACTTAATCCCCCATGAATAGAGATATTCATACAGAAGTCCCGTCTGTGGTTGCTCTTCAAGGAACGTCCATGAAACGTGTTAATTCACGACAGCCCTCAAAATGTTTTTTCCGTCACGGCGCCATTTTCCTGTTTCCGCTTTCCTAACGCATCATCCTCGTCTTCGTAGCAAATCAGTAACGTTTTAATAAGAAGCTGACGCAGCTCGGCCGACTGAGCGCCATTAAAGTGAAACTTAAGAAGCTGGTCGAGAGTTTATATTTCTAAACAGACTTACATAAAGTTAATTTTGAATCCCACACCGGTGTGGACCGTTTCTCTTTCCCGTTCAGGTAACTATGGACGCCATCTTTGCTTCTGTATAAACGAGCTCCGCTTAAGGAGCGGCGCCCTCTGCTGGTTTGCGGCCTAACTACAACAATAAGAGACTATTAGTTAAAGCTGCAGTATGTAACTTTTATTTTAAAAAAAAGTTAGATTTTTTTTTTACGTTTGTTAAAACTATAACAATAACAGCTTAATATAACACAGATAATCTGTGAAAAGATTGATTACCTCCACCTTCACCCAGAGCCATTATTACTGTCTGAAGAAATGAACAGAAACAACCAATGAGAGTCAGGGCGAAGGTGGTAACTCTGTCAATCATCCTCATGTACTCGCTGATAAATGTGCTAATAGCATAGAAACAACTCATTTTACAGGAAAACTGTTTATCTTCTGTCATCGGTGGCTATGCTAACTAGCCTGAGCATTCACAACAGGCTATGCTAGCTGCTACATGAGATTGCAGTTGGCAGCGCTAAGACCCGCCGCCTGGCTCTGAATGGTTGTTTCTAGTTAGGGAAAAGCAGAGGAGCTCAATTTTTTCAGTTTATCTGTGTCATACTATGCTATCATGACATGGTGACAATTTCAACAAATATGTGAAAAAAGAAATGTTTATAAAAGCTACATACTGGAACTAACTTTAAGCTAATTAGTCGTAAGTCGATTAATAATTGTTTGCATCAATAACTCCAAGCTAACTCGTAGATTTCTAACAGGAAATAATTGTCTGCAGTTTTATGTCCTACAGATGTGGTTGATGTCTTCCTAACTTCAGACAGCAGACTTGATGTATCACCTGTGCCGTTATGGTTTCCCTCTAAACGTTCAGTCCAGACGCTCTCTCAGAGTGTGAGTGATGAACTGAGCATCATGGAGGCAGCGCAGCCAAGAGGGGCAGGAGGAAGGAGTGGAGTGGGGGGTTGGTAATGTGGGTTTGCTGTGGTTCACTGTCACCGGTGTCCCAGTTAGCAGACAGGCCTGATCCTCGGGGAACCGCTCGCCAGCGCTCTGCCCATACATCAGCCTGACAGGACAAGCTGCTGAAAGGCCCAACTGGACTCGCCGTGGCTGCGCTTGGCTCGGCTTACCCAGCCCGAATGAAGACACAATGTTATCGGGCTGCCACAGCCTCTCTGATGTCAGGGGTGTTTTATTAATAAGAGGCAGGATACCTTGTCTGCTTGGATCATCTGTCTAGACTCCCTCCCTGTGCGCTGAAAGAGGAGCGGAGCTGCTGAGCACGTCGGCGCGGACGCGGCTTTAAAGGATTTCTTGACTGATCCGAGTGTTAATTAAAAGTTTCTCCGTTTTGCATCCGATGAAGCATTTCGTCAGTTAGCTGCAGATGGGGGCAGATTGGAGGGGGCCGCCGCCGCAGACCGCCCCATTCAGAAGCTGCAAGGTGTGTGAGCCGGGCCTCAACATGTGTTGTCAAAGGGCTGTGACCTCTGACCCTTTCTCCCCCTGCAAAGATAATGACCCAGCCAACCCCCCATTCTTTTTACGCCATCCAATCACACGGCCTGGTGTCCACCCCAGCTGCCAGATGGCTTCCTGATAAAGGATGGAGAAATGTACACAACAAACACCGCTCCCAACGGCAGCTTGCTGTTTTTAAATTTCACCATTAGGGATAAAAAAATAGAGATTTGTGGCTTTTCTTTTCAAATTAAATTTAAAGTCGAGTATTTCTTCCTGTGATAAATTCTTATTCATTAATATAATCTGATATTCACCTGATTTCACCAACTTAAAGTAAGAATAAAATAATTTGTAGCTGGAGATAATAATTTACTGTGAATTTATTTTAAATTATAAGAATTTTGATTTATCATCATCATGATAAATTTCACTTATTGATGGTAAATTAAAAACCAAACTGAGAATGTGAGCAGAAATGTTTGTTTTTTTTTGCCATTTTCTTTCCTGCTTGTTCCCCAAAACCATCAATAAATACCTGTAAATTTGACAGTTTTATTAAATGCAGCTACTGCGTTCAGTTTAGTGACTTATGTTGCAGCCATACCTAAAAAATAGTAATAAATATATATATATTTTTCATAATCTATGTAATCATAATAGTACCACAAAATATTGCAATAAAATTCTAAATCCAAATCGCGCCAATATTGTGAATTAGCTAGCTGCTAATGTAGCTAGCCTGCAGTCTGCTGCTTTACAACAATTCAACTCTCAGCTTCCAAGCTTCAATAGTAGCTCTCCTAATATGGAGCACTATTTGTTCACTTTCAGCAACATGACTCAAATTTTTCCAAACAAACA